CTGCTGAACAGGTAGGGCTTGCAAGATCCCAGGACTATGAGGCTCAGCCCCTTGCACTCCTAGTACTTACGTTGATAATAGCATCTGTCTGAACATAATCCATGTCCGAGTCCCTCAGGCCAAGTTCTTTGCCATCTCGCTGAGCGGTGCTGACAATACCTGTTGTCACCGTGTTCTGTAAGGCAAAGGGACTTCCAATTGCCACCACAAATTCCCCTGGCCTCAGGTCAGCAGAGTGTCCCAGTAATAATACAGGCAATTTTTTCTTAAATAAACACAGGAAAAATAATTAGTTTAGATTTGAAAATAACCTGACTAAACATCAAAAACTAGAGAGAGATTAGGAAGGCATATTGTCCATTCAATTCACTGTAATATGCCCCAAACTTAAGCCAGATCACACTAAAGTAGGACCTTACTGCTTTCAGCTGTCTTCAGAAATAAAGTGCAAGGAGCAATACCTTGCAATTTCATTCAGAAAAAAAAACGCAATCAGAATTCAAAACCATATTTTGCCTATTTTCCAGCGGACTATACCTTGTCCTCCCTACAGAATTAGCATACAACCTGACTATTGACATTCTGTCATTCCCACTATACTGCAGACCGTTTTACAGTTCACAGACACACTAAGCTGGAAGGATTGCCTAACGATGGAGACTATTTTGGCTAACAGCAGCAGAATGTGGCCACATACTAGCCAGGCCACATTATTTTTAGCAGTTCCTAGTACAGAAGAGACATAGGAATTTAAGATATGAAAGATTTCCAGGCCTACAGATGCAGTTTATTCTGAACATCATTATCTCCAGATCTGTTTCCAAAGAATCCCTAAATAAGTATTCCAACCAGTCAGCATGTACTTAAACTGAAATAAGGTTGCCAAATTCATTCATTTCTCTGTTTAGAGCACTCACCTTAGGGTGAATCTTTATTGTTGCAATGTCAGACTTCTTGTCAATGTCTTTGATGGTGGCTTCATAGGTATCTCCATTTTGCAGCTGCACTTTCAGTTGTTGTCTCCCTGATATGGCATTGGTGCTCGACACCACGTGGGCATTGGTCACGATTAAACCAGAATCTGACATAATAAACCCAGATCCACTGGAAAGGGGGACATTCCGACCAAAAAGAGGATGCCTGTACAAAAGATAAATAGTTATTACTCAAAAAAGGGGAAAAGAAAATGACAGCATTAGATGTTATCCACCACCTTTCATTCCAAGAAATACCAAAGCTTCTATTTGATAACTTCTATTAGAGCACTTAAAAATAAATATAAAATACTGATGAAGAAAGGAACACTTCCTGAAACCCTGCAGACTGCTTTTAGTCAGGCAGGGAGATATGAACTGAGGTTTCCAGAAAGCTGGCAAATCACACAGTCTTTTGCTTTATTATTTTCTTTTTAAACTTCTCCTTGCAAGGAGGAAAAGGCAGGTGTAAAGAAAAAAGAGCATCTCATGTGACTCTCACTTCTATAGTGAAAGAAAGTGAGGTCAGGATGTAGGCAGGGCTGACAAATGGACTGATCCTGTGACAGGAAAGAGCTGCCCAGGGAGAAGGAACCTTCCAGCTGGATGGGGGAGCAAAGGAGGTGATGGTGTCTCAGAAGATCAGGAACCATGAGTGTAGAAAAAAGTTTGTGTGCAGGCCGAAAGGACTAGGAATGTAAAAGCAGAAATGAAAAACACTAACAATGGTGAGATTTGAAGGGAACATCATTTGCTGCACTAAAGATAGCTAAAAGACTTTATTGTATGTGTCATAGGTACAATATTACTGTATATGTTTAAAGTAGATAATTTTTCCTGTGAACAATTGCTGCAGTGACATTAGATTTACTAGGGGAACAGAAAGTGCCTTAGCAGCAGAAAACGAGAAAATGTCCCAAGCTAATCTTTCATGTGATCCTTATTAGAAAATTGTTTGAGAGTCCTGGGCTGTTTGGCAGTGAAGAACTGGAGCCAATCTCAGGCAGAAGGCAGTACCACAACTAGTGCCCAACAGGTCACTAGGCAAACATTCACTTTTAGGGAAGGAAAAAGTAATATTAAAAATACATGAAAACACCTAAAAGGTCTTCAGCTGTAATGTTCTCTTAACAGTTTAACTAAGAATTAAGTTCAGTTAACAGTTAAGATCTTTTAACATTCTCTTAAAAGACCAGTCACCATGTGCACATGCCAGGTTTTAAAGCCAGTTATCTACCTCAGTTCTACAAATCAAAAACAAACAACAAAAAACAAATAAACAAAAGAATTCTCAAGAAAATCTTAAGCTCATGCAAAATTAGAGCATCCCTTGGAGAAAGAAATCCAGGTAATGGAGTATCTGTAATATTGGTAATGATTTATCCTGACAGCAAGTTGTTTTGAGTACTTGATGTTAAAAGCTGCCTCCTTAGCTCCACCTTCTGTATACTTAATTTTGTTATGTCTTGGTCAGCAAATGTAGTAGATTATTTTTATATCTACTAAAAGCATTTATATGGTTAGGTGGATTACAGATGGTCAATGAAATACCTCTCAATGTTTTTCCTGACAAAATGAAATAACTTGACATCACCACTCACTGAAATAAGCAAGAAAACACTATGCTTTTCCAGATTACTTTTCTGTACTTTTTTGTTTATTTGCTTTTTAACTCTACATAACAAACACAACCCAATCACATTGTTGTGAAGAACGTCTCCAAAGAAGATAATGTATCCTACTGAGGGCAGTATCTGTTGAAAGTCAATTGAAAGACTCTAAACCTACTAAACAGGAACAAGACACAAAAAAGTAGGTAATGGTACTTTTCATACAAAAGCTCACTCTCGCAGTCCTCAGATCTAGCTTCCCTGGATGAGACTACTAAAACATTTCAAAATAGTTTGAACATCAGTAATTCAATACTATAGCAGTGAACTGTTCTATTCGATGGCAAAAGGAGGTAAAGGAAAATATTTGTAGCCACTTATCAAACAATGCAATTAAAATATAGAGTTAAAAGTGTTACCTGAGGAAAAGTTCAATGTGCACAACTGCAGGTGCGATCTTTTCCACCACATCTGCTATGAAGTTAAATTTGTATCTTGGGCTGCTGGACTGTAGGTGACCTATACTAGCAGAAAGAATTGGATATGTTAATAAGAAAATACTCTTTTAACCCAGTAAGTGAGATAAATATGTTTTGAGTTTCTCATAATGGGATAGTTTTCAATCAGATTTGGGGAAAAGTAATTGAAGTCATTAGGATTTGTTCAGAATTAGTCATTTTTTCGCTTCATCCTGAGATAGCTAAACAACAGTTTTCCAGTTTTCTTGGAAGTGCCCAATATTATCTATCTTGAGCATTTTCCTCAGCAAAACTACTAACTATTAGCTAAAATACATAGGATCATAGGACAAGTCAGTCTGGAAGGGACCTGAAACCTCAACCAAATTGGAAGGTTGGAGGGAAGTTAAAAGGATCCAGGCAAAGAGGTTGGACTAGAGACCTCCTGAGATGTCTCCTGACAGGCCTCCTGCTCAAATCAAGTTCAATTACCAACTCAAAAGCACAACAGCTCTGTTCGGTTAAAAACCTGTGAGAATGAAGATTCGTGCCTGTTCCACTCCTTCACTGTCCTCATGAGGAAAGGGATTTTCTTGTAACTAGTCTGAGCATCTGTTGCTGAAATTCATTCTTGTCTCCTCTCATCCTTCCACTGTGCATGTCTGTGAAAAGCCTGGCTCTGTCTCCATGACCTCCCCACAGGCATGGCAGGCTGCTGTTAGATCACCATGAAGATGCACTTTTCTCACAGGACATGTGCTTCAGCCCCCTCAACCGTCTCGGTGTCGCTCTGCTGAACTTGCTGCAGTTATCAATGTCTTTCTTGCAATGGGGCTCCCAAACACAGGTGCTCTAGATGTAGCCTAAGGAGCGCCATGTAACATCACTGCAGCTCCTTCCTACTGCATTTAGAACCCAAAAAAGGATTTTTTTTTGAAGCAGACACATTAGAAACCTGTAGTAAATTATAACTTTTACACTTAAGTTTTGCAAGCTCACAACTAAGCTATCACAACATAACTATAGATTACTAAATACTAAGCATTCTGGAAGACAGCTCAGTACTAACTTAAATGGCACTGTACACAACAATTATGAATACTCAATGGAGGTCCTATGAAATGACCACCTCAGAGGGAAAGAAGCCAACAGCGTCGTGGATTGGAGTGTCACAACATCGCAAAGGAGCAGTCCTTCGTGTGCTAGAATGTCTTGCTTATCCGCAGTGCTTAATACATGAGGCCATATCACCATGTATGTTAAGGTATGTCATAATACATTGAATAGTAGTTTTTCATGTCCACTACCTGATGCTTTAAAATTAACCAGAGAATCTAAGGAAGGGAGTCAGAAAGTTGTAATCAGATACAGCAAGCACATTTTTTGGCTTTGTTCAAAATCTGGTGCAACAACACGCTGTATGTTGCCAGTTAGTTAGGAGAAAGATGCTTTATAATCTAGCTTCTGAAAGGCTTATATCATTTAGAACTCATACTCTGTGCCATCGGATCAGTGATTTGCTTGAGGCTTAAGTCATGCTGAAGGGTGGCCTTATCTCCACAGTAGCTCCAGCACTCCCAGTTAATTCCTGGTTTTAAGGGCTCTAAATTTCCCTCATTCTAGACAACCTAACACCTCAATCCAGATAATTTATCTTTTGAAAGTATGTAATTTTCCTACTTCAGCTGCCATTTACCTTTGTCTCTCCGTGGAAAGTAAGTGAGAGAGAAAGGATATGCATCGTGCAAAAAAGAGAAATACACAGAAAAGAAAGGAGGAAGAAATTTGAAAATGAGAGGCTTCTCATGCATTTTGGTTTTCTGTGTAGTTCTTAATTCAAAGATCACTCTGGCCAACCCAAATCTAAAGCTGTTTTACTGTCCATTAAACCTTGTAAATTAGTTGGAATAAGTAAGTGCAGAGATCGCCGCATACTAGAATCTAACCACTTTACTGATGTCTCACTATTCTCTCCTGTTTTTCAAATGAATACATAAGACAGTGGAAGACACAGAAGTAGTTCTAACAGCTTGTTTAATCTTTCAAAAGGCCTTCACAGTACAGGACCTGCAGAGTCAGAAAATGAGAGATCTTACATTATCACAGTAACTAAAAGACTTGAATCAAAGACAGGAATTTTTGGAGCTTAATATGGAATGGATACAATGCCAGTACCAAAAAGAAAAAACAAAGTCCTAAAGGAATCAGATTAAGACAACTAGGGATGTCTCATTAGAGCTTTGAGTGGTCTCCTTCCTGTTACTGGACATGGGATTTAGCTCTGAAAGGAAACCATGCTTACATTTAGCAAGCTAAATTTATATGAAATGGTATAAACAAAAGGAACAGCTTGGCAGGAAGAGATTCAGCCTATTTTATGTACATTCTCACGTACTCTGAAAAAACACTTCTAAACGCTTCTAAACATGCTTATTTCAGTACTTAGTTTAGAAGAGACAATGAATACAGAGGTCAATCAAATGCAAGCTCAACACACTGTTATTTGTTTGGTTTACTGAACCACTCAGGATTTATCTTACCTTCAAATCACAAGCAATTTGCCTGATTATGCAGTATGTCCTTTGAAGTCTAGTGTCATGCATTTAAATGCTTGCATATACAGCAGTGTTCACTGATGGGATATAATATCATTACCATATTTATCTTAAGGAAAACAACTATGTGTCTACAGGAGACAGTAAGTTAGACCCTCGTTTGAGACACATGGGCATAAGTGGGGGAAAAAAGCATGGCGAATGTGGGCTCTTAAACTGCCATAAAGCAGCATAGCTCCATGTAAGGCAGAGCTGTGCATTAGCTGAGAGCTGAGCTATTCTTTCCATGCCAAATTGTCACAGCACAGCACAAGGCTGAAAAAGCAGCAGAGGAAGACTGCCAAGTGCATAGAGCCACCAGTGAAACATCATGGGTGGCAGTGCCTTCCTAGCTGAGATTTGAAATAGGTAGGGGTAGAAAATTTGACAGAGGTAGCAGATGAATGAAAATGTGGCAAGAGTGGAAGAAAATAAATGAGGTAATAGAGAATATGTAAAACCAAAGCAAAGCCTGTGAAAGCATTTATCAATCTGAGCTAGGGGCAGAAGACAAGAATACTCAGACTTGAAGTAAATTTAAATGCACCTTATATGTTCACTGGGGACATATAGGAAGAGGAAATTTCAAACAAAGGAAGATCAAGAATAACAGACACACAAACTTTGCAAAAAAAGGTCAACCTGAAGATCTGCTGCCCTGATTAGAGATGAGCAGCTTGCACCACTAGTGGCTTATGGAGACTAAATACTGGCAAAAAATGACTTAAAATCTTGAGATGCCTACACAGAAGCTGAGAAAAATCTTCATCCCTTCCCCTCCCCCCCCATCTTTTCCTGCAAGCTGGGAGCATTAAACACCTTTAAACACATTATCTGGCATCCTACCGAGGAAAGCTCAGGCTGTGGAATGAGAAGAAGTAGCTTCAAACTAACATTTGTGCTTGTCGCTTCCTAACCCCATCCAATTTAAGAGAATTTAATAATCAATGAGTAACATTGTATGCACAATTCTCACAGAGCTGACTAGCAGAAGTCCTCAATGTACTTTAAAAGGAAGGTATTACAGACTGAGAAACTGAGGAGTGAAGTAATGTACTACCTTGTACAACACGTGTAAGGTCATCGTGCAAACATATATTAAGAACTGGAATGGTAGAACTGGGGCCTTCTATCAGACCTCCAATCTAACCATTAATCTGTGCTAACTGGTAGAGACTTACTACTGCTGTTATTCTTACTATGTCATAAAATCACACATGTGATAGTCCTGCTATCTCTTCCTTCACTTTTTTTTTCCTTGCAGATATTCTTGCTGCATTACATAGCTTTCATGCAGCTCTCAGACCTCTACTGGACTGTGAATGTAAAAGCTCCACATCTACCATAGCTTCATGTGTTTTGATCTATTGACATACTGACACTTGATGCCCATTTTTCAGAAGGTCTCTCAGTAACATCCATTATGTCTGGTGATTTTACTACATGCTCATAATCCATCTCATTAACCAAGGCTAATATGTCATGGCAAAAAGCCATCACTTAATCCAATTAACTATCTTTAGAATAACCAAGATATGAAAGCAACTTTGAGCAGGTTGCATTTTAAGCAAAAGCATGTTTACATGGTGTTATCTGCATTCGTAATTGAAAGAAATTGATTTTTGCAGTCTACTCCAAACCCACAAATCAGCCGGGTTTTCTGCAGATCTGAACTTCCATTTTATCTTGTAAATTAAGTTTTTAGCATTCAGCACCTTCTAGAAAGTACTCGAAATCCAGACATGGTTGTCAGGGAATAAATTGGAGTTAAAGATTCATTCATTCTATTTTGCAATGTTTGATCTACTGTTTCAGTTTCATCTATGCGCTTCAGCTACATGAGATTTATATGGCTAAAACTAAGTGTCTGTCAGGTGGAGTCACTTTAATTATCAGCTAACACTTTCCTGTATCTACAGACTATGAGCTCATTTAATAGCTTTGTATTTACTTAGCTGCAGAACAAATAGATGCACTCCAATCTCATTAACACTGTTGTAAACCAGGAGCAACTGATTTACCAGATTTGTAGAGTTAAATAGTTTGAACAAAACTGAGAAAAAAAACAGCAGAAATAAATTGTCATAGTCCCAGTGAAGACAATAAAGTTACACCACAGTTACACCAAAGTTACATTTGCTGAAGACTGAAAGTGTCTGAATAGCTGCCAACTTATTCCCTGTAGAATTAAATCAGCCCATATTCAATGCTTTCTTAAAGACAATGCTTTGCATTCAAATCCACAAATTTGTATCCTTAAGAATTTGTGAGCCTGAGAAACTCATTCTTTTGAGGTTGTTCCACCATCCCCCTTTTTAAAGCTTGCTTCAGAAAAGATCTGCATGTTCAGCTAAATTATTATGTCTAAGGGAGGACTGCAACCTGGCAGATATGATCACCAGGGATAAACACTGTCCCTACTGTGCTTTCATGGAAAGAAATGAAAGACAAATAAAAGATTATAATGTCTCTGCTTAAAAAACAGAAACATCTGCTGAAAACATAGGTTCACGGGCAGCTTTTCTGATGAATTCAGCACTAAGATCAAGTTGCATAGCTGTGCACTGACCATAAAGCCTTGGTGACTTTAATGCTACGTTATGTTTCAGGCAACTTGTTTATTCAGTGGATATCTACTGTGCACAGATGAAAACAATTTGTGAACCATCACCAATGTGGCTTTCTTGTGCAGTTCCGAAGTCACAACGGCCAGATGGAGATGGACTGACGCTTGCCTTCCTGCAAAGACACTCAATGCCTCACTGCCTTTAAAACATTATTATCCCTCCTTCCCAAGTGCCTTGCACAAGGAGATTGAATAAGACCATCTCTGTCCTGTTAGCAATTCTTCACAAAAGCAGTGAAGTGCTGTACTCAGAATACAGCAAACACTAAACAACGTTCATCCTCATCTGCAGGAACTCAAAACAGATGCAGACATAAGGAAAACAGTCAGTAAAGGAATGCAACTAGAGCTTGAGCTTTCAGCCAATACCTTGCAATGATTTCTCTAAATAAAGCATACAGCTGGAGGGAGCCTTAGGCTCTGATGACAAAAATGCCGGTAGGAGATGTCCATACATTTTACTGGGCCAGTTTCTCAGAAATGCAAGCAATGATACGGTCCATTGCTCCTTTGTACTTCCAAGGTTGCATGCATGAATGCTCCAAATATCCCAGACAGACCAGTGTACAATAATTCTGCTTATTTTAATTATATTCGCAAGCTGTTTTTTTTTTTTTAACTAAACTTTTAGACTGGTTAGAATTGATGGACACAACTAAGATTTTACATCATGGCTCCTTTCTTACAGTTTCTTCAGATATTCAGTTCAGAGCACAGACATTCTCAGATGTAAACCTGCAAAGGATCAGTATGGAAACCAATGGGACTCATTTCCTGGAATGTCTTTCCTCAAAAGCTTTTTAATCAATCTTCTTAGTTACTTTGTTCCATTAATAGAATAATATCTTTATATCTCCCAAAATACTTTTTTTTTCCTTTACTTTTGCCTCCTACATTAGAAAATCCAGATCTTCATTGGACATCTGAAATATTTTTTATACAAACCGTTAGCACAATCAGCATTGCAGAGAATTATCAACTGCACTGAGAACATTGTACTGAGGGCCCATAAACAGCTCTCTGTGCAGAAAAGTCTAACATAGATTGGTCATAAATTGCAGGCGACTTCACAAATTCTTTGTGTTTAGATTCAGAATTCAGTCCACCTAAAAATCCTGGTGACTCGTATCTCAGATAAGTCAAGGGTCTGCCAAGATATATGAGTAATTGTATGAGCAGTGGTTTCCAGGGCATGTCCCTCTGGAGAACACCAGTGAGAGGCTGGTTCCTGTATCTCCATGCAGCATCCTCCCTTTAGTGCACAGCATGTGCACCTTTCATTTTGGCACGTGGTGTTCCTTGTGCTAATCCAAGTCTTTTGCAAGGAAAGAACAGTTCTGTCATTTCTGGAATTATCACTTCCTTCGTTGTTCTGGGCACCTCTCTTCTTCCTTCCGTTCTGAATTATTTGCCTTTTTTTTTTTTTTCCTTTTTCATATTCTGTGTGTTCTGAAAACTAAGCTTAAGTCAAGCGAGGTAAGGCTACTGTTATCTGGGACTATATGTGTCCTTTTAATATATGTGAAGTTAAGGTAAACTGGATTTGCTTTGCAACTTGCTCAGGGCCTCCAAACTCTGAGTCGTCTGAGACCAGATTTCCTTCATGAACAGGGTAAATAGACAAACTCGACAGTAATTTCAAACTGTTGATTTTCTTTTAAACCCTCTCATTACAGCCGTGCATGTTATTGTTTAAAATAATACATATACACACATACAAAAAAAACATAATTGAGTTCTATTCCTGGCTCAACCACTGATTCAAGACTGACCTTGGGCAACACACTCAGTTTCTTTGAACTTGAGTTTGTGCAGCTGTAAAATTGAATAAAAAATTAAAGCTTCACAGACAACCAGATGCTTCATCTAAGCTGAGGTTTACTGGGACAAAAAATATGGCCAAAATAAAGTGAGCTGTAAAATAGTTGCGTGAAAAAAATGTTACCTCCACCTCGCTGCTCTAAATTGCTAAGCCAATTACAGCAGACTCAGGAGAATTCCACAAAGAAACCCCAGGCACTCTGTAAGCCCTTAGACACAGGCAATCTTGCCAGTTTTGGTTAAACATTCTAATTATTTTGCAATGGATGAATTCAACCAAATATTAGAAGGACTAAAGTTAAGAGATGCTTAGATGAAAATGAACAGGCAAGCAACAAGGTATCACTGAAAAATGATGGAGAGACTGATCACTGCAGCTCCATACTGACATCCAGAGATATTCTTGACTCTATAACATATGCCTGAAGTAACTTTAGAAATATCTTTTGACCTCCTCCTTCCTCATGCCCCAGTTTACCTGCTCTAAAGAGTGGCATGTATGAAAGGTCCTCTCTTCACAGAGCAGTTCTTAAACACTAGGGACAGTAACACTCCCTTTGCCTTCTTGTTCCTCCCACTGCTTTTAACAAATTTACCACCTATAAACAGCGTTAAAGGTTCAGCTGGAATAACAGAAGCATCAGGCCATAATTTAAAACCTTCTTAAGCATATAATTTTTCTTTCCAGGAGTATTTTTGCAAATACAGTATAAGCACAGTGTGAAAATAACATGTGAGGAAATGCACTAACAGAAATAAGCAAAATTAACACTTCCAGAAAGGGAACCCTTTTAATAATAAAAAAAAAATCGCTAAACTTCAAATTAAACAATCAAGCTGGAAGTTACCGTAAACTGTTGGAATATCCTAAGTGAAGCGAAGGCCCTAGTATCTTCCTGCAATGAGGAGATCACCTGACATCCTGAGCATCAGCATTTTAAGCTGTCAAAGGAGTTCACTGATATTTTTTCCTCTTTAGCCTCTCCAAGCCTACAGACATAAGCCCTCCTCTAGGAAGGAAATATGAGAGACAAGAGATGATGTTTAGATATGGTCTAGTGCAATTTTGGGTGGTTTTTTTTGGCCTGTTTCAGCTACCTGGGTTTGACAGGTAGTTTCTGTGTAGAGATGCCTGACAGATGAATTAATCAGATTATTTTCTAAAGCCTGTCACTGAGGAAGGCCCAAGCACGTGAGCACTTCCAGATTGTCCGATCTGTTTGCACGGCACTTGGCACATCCCAGCTGCAAGATACCCATGGAGCGAGTGCCGACGTCGAGTTATGACACCGACGCCAACTGTTGCAGTGTCACCACATGCTCGCGGCACCGACCAGGGCTTCCCCACGCTTGGGCCCTCTCCCTGCCCCAGCAGGACCATCGTGGATCCATGCATCCATGGCAGGGGGGGACGAGGTGCCACGGCAGAGCCCCAGGCCTCCCCGCTGCCCCCGGGTCCCCAGCCCAGGCTCCTACCCGATTCACAGGCGCCTTTCTGGAGCTGGGCGATGGCGTGCAGGCCGTGCTGCAGCGCCTTGCGGCTGGCGGCCTTCAGCTGGCACACGTTGTCGTAGGTGCGCCCGTCGCTGCCGCACACCTGCCCGCTGAGCTTGCACTGGCAGACGCCCTTGGCGAAGCGCTTGCCCATGGGGTAGCGGCAG